AATTTTTTGTATTTTTAGTAGAGACGGGGTTTCACCATGTTGACCTGGATGGTCTCGATCTCTTGACCTCGTGATCCACCCGCCTCGGCCTCCCAAAGTGCTGGGATTACAGGCTTGAGCCACCGCGCCCGGCCTCATAATAAGTTTTTAATGAAAAAAACAAATTCCTGTTCTGCCTGATTGAAAAATTTTTTTTTAAATAAAAAAATAAAATAAAGCTGGGCGCGGTGGCTCACACCTGTAATCCCAGCACTTTGGGAGGCCAAGGCGGGCAGATCACAAGGTCAGGAGTTTGAGACCAGCTTGACCAACATGGTGAAACTCCATCTCTACTAAAAACACAAAAATTAGCTGGGCGTGGTGGCTTGTGCCTATAGTCTCAGCTACTCAGGAGGCTGAGGCAGGAGAATCACCTGAACATGGGAGAGAGAGGTTGCAGTGAGATGAGATCGCGCCACTGTACTCCAGCCTGGGTGACAGATGGAGACTGTGTCTCAAAAAAAAATCTATGTATATATAGATATATATTATATATAAATAAAATAATGTATATATGTGTGTGTGTATATATATATATATATAAACCCTAGAGAAATACTCCCACATAACACTAAGAAGCATAAAGAATTTTCACTGAAACATTGTAAGAGCAAGCAGCTGGAAACCATCTGTGTGTCCAACAACAAAATGGTTAAGTAAACAGTGATACATCCATACTTGGGATACAATATAACAGTTATTAAGAATGAGATTGCTTTATATGTATTGATAGGCAAGTTCTCTGAAACATGTTAAGTGTAAAAAGAAGATGTGGAATAATACAAACCATGTGATACTTTTTTTCTTTTGAGACAGGGTCTCTGGCTCTGTTGTTCAGGCTGGAGTGCAGTGGTGCTATCATGGCTCATCGCAGCCTTGACCTCGAGATCTCAAGCAATCTTCCCACCTCAGCCTCCCGTAGCTGGGACTACAAGTGCGTGCCACCACATCCAGCTAATTTTTTAGTTTTTGTAGAGACAGCGTCTCACTATGTTGCCCAGGATGGTTTCAAACTCCTGGCTTCAAGTGATTTTCCTGCCTTAGCCTCCCAAAGTGCTGGGATTACAGGTATGAACCACTATGCCTGGTCCATTTATGTTTTAGAAGTCTCACATAACTAGGTGGGTGTGGTGGCTCACGCCTGTAATCCCAGCACTTTGGGAGGCCAAGGGAGGTGGATTTCTTGAATCCAGAATTCAAGACCAGCCTAGGCAACATGGTGAAACTGTGTCTCTGAAAAAAAAAAAACAAAACACAAAAATTATCCAGGTATGGTAGTATGTGCCTGTAGTCCCAGCTCTTTTGGGTCCAAGGTGGGAGGACTGCTTGAGCCAGGAGGCAGAGGGTGCAAGGGTGCAGTGAGCCGAGATCATGCCACCACACTCCAGCCTTGGCAACAGAGTGAGACCCTGTCTCAAAAAAGAAAGTCCCATATAACTATCTATTTCTACATGTAAATACATAGAACAAAGGCCGGAAGGATACATAATGAAAATTTAAAAATGTTTATCTCCGGAAGGAATGGACCAGGACCTGGGATAATGGCAAGGATTTGGCCTTGTCTGTAGTTGCGTTTTTTTTTTTTTTCTTTTTCTTTTTTTTTTTTTTT